CAAGGATCATTCGTTACCCCAACCAAATATTTTTGATCTAGTTCATCTCAGTACATGTCATCACATAGTCAGTGTTCCCAATTAGAAGTTAGTCGTTTAAAACAACAGTTGGCTGAAATGGATCAAAATTTAGCTCAAATGAAAGCCATAACTGAAGCGAGGGAAGCAAAGAGAGAAACAACATATGCAAAAAAAATGTGAAGACTTGCAAAATCAACTTCAAGTTATGATGTAGATGATACGACAAAATCAACCCAGAGTCCACCATCTTAGGTGTTATTTTACATATATGCTTTGTTTATTCTAGTTAACAATGTTGAATTACATTATATTTTATGTTAAACTTTGATTTATTATTATGGATTTCAAGTTTGTTGTTATGGATGTCAAGTTTATTGGATAATGCTACAAGTTAAAATTTTAAATTTGGGCAACAAAAGAAAAACAAAAAACAACATATGAAAAATCAGTTTTAATTAGAGGTGTTTGTATAAAAAATGCCACAGAATACATACTCAATACCAATATTTTAGAAAAAACACCACTAAAGTTCTACATCTTTTGCGGCATTTATACAGAAAACACCATTATAGACATTGTCAATAGCGGCATTTGCCGTTCACAAAAGCCGCTATATGTCATTACATTTACCGACGTTTTTGAGAATAAACGTCACTATATGTCAGAACATTTAGCGGCATTTTTTACAAACGCCATAAAAGAAAAGATATATAGTGGCATTTTTTTTAACAACGCCGCTAAATATCATAACCTTTAGCGGCATTTTTCGTCCACAAACGCCGCTAACTTTTGCGGCGTTTGTTTTAACGGTGCTTTTTGCAACACTTTTTTTTTGCGCCACAAGGGTTTTTAGCGACGCTTAAAAATGGTGCTAAAAACTTATTTTGCTATAGTGTTGTTGCATATCTTGAATAGATATGTTTTGTCAAAATAATATCGAGTGGTTCGCTTAAGGCATCGTTCCTTATTGTGACCTTATATAGCTTTAGGGATGTGTCCACAAGCCGAGTAATTAACAATATCAACATACCTAGAAATTTTGTTGATAATAAATAGCTTTACATCAGGAACTCTTAATTAAAATGAAATGAAAGTGGTCAAATCTTTTTTTTTAATTTAATGAGAAAAAAATTATAAAACTCAAACGAAAGTGACCATTTCTATAGTTTACCCTATAAAATATGATATGTCTGTAGTTAGGAATCAAAATTTAATTCAATTTGAAATTTGGAGTTTTTTAATTTCTAATCATTTAAAATAATTTAAATTTTTAATTTGAATTTTGAGTTCAAATTAAGTTTGAATTTGTAGAGTTGAAATAATCAAAATTAAAATGATATTTTAAGTTATTTTTTTTATTTTAAGTTAATTTTTAACACATTTGATCAACATGATCCTCAATCATGCAAAATATTCGTATAACTTCAATTTCTTTTGACAACATTTTTCTCTTCTTTAATCTAGTCCCTTAATTTTATACTTTATTCTATTTGATCTTTCGACTACAACTTTTAGCAAATTATTTCATCCCATGAGTTCATTGATTCCTTTGTACTCCCATCAATAGTTTGCCTTCAAATCCATTCTTAAAAAGTAAAATTATCAATATATTATATAATTTTAGATGATATTTGATTTTTCAAATAATATTATAAATAGAGAAAATCGCCTCAGTGACCAAAAATACCTTATAATATACGATTTTAACCATTTTTTTTTGGATTTGCCAAAATGACCAATAAAATCGCAACGCGATATCAAAATCGCAAAGCGATTTAGAAAATCGCAACGTTAAAAAGAAAATCGCAATGGTCAAAAGAAAATCGCAACGCGAGCTTCCAAGTATACATGCTCAATCCCACATAGTATTGGAAATACTATTGGGAATGGTATTTAAGGCTTGTATTTTGCACTTCCTTGTTGAGTGAAAGAGGACAAGGGGGACTCTCGCGCGCCGCCGCCGCCGCCGTCTCGTCTCGGGTCGTGGTCGTGGTCGTGGTCGTGGTCGTGGTCGTGGTCGTGGTCGTGGTCGTGGTAATACGTGTCTTCGACACGTCCGCGCGGATACTATCTTTTTAGAGAAAATTCTTAAGAAACAAAATTTTTTTAACTATTCTTTTGACCGTTGCGATTTTCTTTTTAACGTTGCGATTTTCTAAATCGCGTTGCGATTCTCTCAATCGCATTGCGATTCTATAAATCGCATTGCGATTCTCTCAGTCGCATTGCGATTCTCTCAGTCGCATTGCGATTTTCTTCTAAATCGTTGCAACTCTCTCAATCGCATTGCGATTCTATAAATCGCATTGCGATTCTATAAATCGCATTGCGATTCTATCAATCGCATTGCGATTTTCTTCTAAATCGCGTTGCGAACTTGGAAGCTCGCGTTGCGATTTTCTTTTGACCGTTGCGATTTTCTTTTTAACGTTGCGATTTTCTAAATCGCATTGCGATTTTATTGGTCATTTTGGCAAATCCAAAAAAAATTGGTTAAAATCGTATATTATAAGGTATTTTTGGTCACTGAGACGATTTTCTCTTATAAATATTGCTTACGTATATGAAACACACACACATATATGCATACATGCATATATACATATATGATTAAAGTTGCTTAAATTGGAACCAATCAATATCATAATATTATAAATAATTATATTTAAATTTAAATAAATATATTTGATTAAACTCAACTCAACTAAAAATATTCAAATAATAAAATAATACTCCTAAACTCGATCAATTTAATTTTCTCTATTCCACTTGACTTGATCCTATCAAAACTAACCTGTAACTTGAAGTCCCAGTTGATAAGAAAAAGGATTATATTTCTCATAGGGGTTAATTTGGTTCAATTTAGTTTGGTTTTTTAATAAAAGATTAATCAAACTGTATTATGATATTAAAAAAAAAAAACAAACCGAAATTGAAATCAATTGATATAAAACTAAAATTTCTAGTTCAATTCGGTATTGTTTCAATTGGTCATAAATTTTCAAACTCAACATAAAAAAAAGCAAATTCCATGCTTAAACTGAATGCAAATACAAGTTTAAATTTAAAAAAATATATAATTAGTTTTAGGGGTTTATTTATTTAAGTTTATCTTATGACAAATTCAAAATAAATTTAATTTGAATCATTATTTTTTTCTTTTGGATTTAAAGCAAAAGAGTATCATAAAAATGGATAAAACTATATAGTTAAACCGAACCAAAACTAAATCACAAAATGAAATTTTCAAACTAAACTAAATTTTAAACTTATATTCCCCCTAGCATTTGACTGCATTTTCCAACTGAAATAGAATATTATTATCAAAATTAAATTGTACATCCAAAATAGTCCTAAGGAGATATGATCCCAAGCCAATACTTGACATGTCCCCCCTCTTTCAGGCCCGTCACAACGGAAACAAAAATCGAGACTTACTTTATCTGGTATCAAACACGAGTTGCAAGCAAATAAAACATCTTTCAAGAGTAACAATATCGTAATATAATTAGTAAACGCATGAATGTTGTAGATTGATTTCTTTTTAATTTTTTCAATTTCATCACTCAATACTATAAGCTCCTAACTGTGATAGTGTTGAATTATTTTGAGAAAGTAGTGACAGTAAAGACAAAATGAATGACAGGATGTCGACGCTTAAAGCTCAAAACTCAACAACTAGCTGTTGTGTGTCCCCTGTCGGTTTTGCTAGTTTGAGGTTCTTGAATTTGGACGCAATAATAATATATAACTGGCGCAGATAGCCCTCTTTACTACTGCTTCTCATTTTTGCAACTTACAAGTAAAGTGGAGCTGTACTCCAATATTATTTTAGTTGACATTTCCAAATCCAAATGCAAATTGAATGAATTTAGGCAATCTACATTAAACAGAACTAAATACAAGGATGTATTATATTTAAAATTTTAAATTAATTAATAATAAGTTTAAAATACTAAACAAACGACCATCCCATCCAAAATATTTTTAAAACCCAAAAAAAAAACTAAACATTAAATGGTTATTATAAATATTGTTCAACTGCAACATTATTAAATTAATCCCAAGATTCGCGACCAGTAGAAATTAAATAAGCAACCGACATTTATTTAACCAAGTAAAAGGCAACTTTCAAAAAACAATTATGAGCGAAGTACATAAATTGTCTCCCGATCATAGGACATTGCTTTGTTGAGTCTATCAACTATTAAAAGTTACAAAATAGTCATTTTATTATTCATATGTTCCGAACTAGTCATTTTTGTTAAAAAATTGACATCAGGTGGATGTTAACATGTTGATTAAAATATGATAAAATCATATTTTAATGATGTATTTTGGCATCACTGTTGATTTCAAGCACTGGCTCGATGACATAATATTTCTAGTATTGGCTCGATCACATAATGTTTCAAGTACTAGCTTGACGACACAATGAAAATGGAGAGTCAATGCACAAATATAACTCAAACAATTTTGGGATTAGATTTTATCATATCTATAAAATATTAGTGTCCAACTCAAATGACCACTAAGTTTTTAACGAAAAAGGACGAGTTTGGAATATATAAATAGTCGGGTGACCATTTTGTAACTTTTAATAGTCGAAAGACTCAACAAAATAGTCTCCTATAATTGGGAGATTATTTTATAACTTTTAATAGTTAGAGAACTCAACAAAATAAAGCCTTATAGTTGGGGGACTACTTGTGTACTTTACCCAAAAAATTATATACTCCATATACGTACCATTATTCATTTTAATCGTGTGGGGCTATATTTATTACATAATTTAATAGGCGGACCTATATTGTGCATAGTAATTAATCTCTCAATTATGACGAAGAAACCATCGGAAAATGGTCATAGAAGACAAGGGAAACTTCTCAGCAACTTTAGGGCTCATGCCAATGCCCATCCCTAGACCCTAAATTTTTTCTATAAAATGCAGCCTTCCCGATATCCCATCTTCAAACCAAACAAGCCGACACTCTCTTCTCCTTCTTATCTTCTTACATATAATCTCCATTTTCACCGTTAACAAAGTACCAGGAAATGGAAAGCACCACCAAGACATCATCATTGTTGCTTGCATCACTTCTTTGCGTTCTGCTCCTCTCTCAGGTATGTCGTTCATTTACCTATATATATGCTTTAATATTTGTACAAATAATCAGTTTTTCTCTTATATGTTTGGAGTATTTTAACCGTCAACATTTTAACTTTTGGTCAAAACAAGTCTGTTATATGAAATCTTTAGTTGATTAATGGTTAACACATGTCTTTAAAGTGATATTTCTAAATATGTTCAATTGTATGCCACATCATCACTTTGGATGATGTTGTATACGTCACACAATCACTTTACGAGTTAAAATGCTACATCAACAATTTGCGTTAACTTTAGTTAAGTAATAATGTCTATTAAATAAAATTTGTTTTGACCAAAAATTAAAATGTGTGTATATATATATATATATAATAGCCGTACAATGTTAATTTTTGGTACAATACCATTTTCCAGGTGGGAATACTGATGGCTCAACCGGAAGCAAAAGCCCCGGCTCCAGGCACCCAAGGTAAAAAAAAATAAAAAATCCGAAGTATTGCTTCTTTTTAGTCTGGTGAAAAGTAATCGTTTAAGTTACATACATATGCATACGCAGTGGGAGATGAATGCCCGAAGAAGTGTGCATACAGGTGCAGCAAATCATGGAAGCCAAAGATGTGCAACAAAACCTGTGTAGCTTGTTGCCACAGGTGCCCTGATCATTGTGTGCCGAATGGTCCCAGAGCTCCCCGAGATTCCTGCTACTGCTACTCCCAGATCAAGACCCATAACAAGTTCAAGTGCCCATAGAGTCTTGGACCCCCGCCTTTATACCAGAGAGTTGGAGAGATTAGGAAGTAAACAAAATAAACACATCTCAACTATCACTTTTGTTTCATTTGGATCATCCCTCTATTTTTAAAAATATTATATCTAATGTTTAGTTTTACTTTTATTTTCGTCATCATTGTTAAAAATAATCAATGATAATATTGACATATGTTATCATAAGGTAATATCATGTCATAATTAAAAAATAAAAAATATAATATTAGTAGTTTTGTTAATTTATTAATGATGGCGACAAAAAAGAAACTAAATTGTAATGTTAAATATAATTTGTAAAACATAGTTTAGTGGTCAAAATAGAATAAAAACAATAATTAGATCAATAAGCTTGTAGTTTACCTAAAAAAAAAATAAGAAGGCACCGGTGTTCCTGTCGTTTCATTACAATTTATCGCTCCATTTGGTTACTCGTTCAGTGTTGACTTTGTATGTCTTTTATTCTTGTTTTACATTCAAACGGTAGTAGTATATTGAATATTCAACATGTATTATATGACATATCACAATATTTCTTGTTAGGGTAAAGCATACTGATGGTCTTTGATTATAGGATGATACTTTATTAAGTATCTCAAATGTTAAAAGTTACAAAATAGTCATTTGACTATTTTTATGTTCCAAACTCATAATTTTTCGTTAAAAAAATGAACGATCGCCTGAGCTGAAAATTACCATGTTAACTGAAATATGACCCAGTCTGATCTTAGAACTATTTGAGTTGTATTTTGTGTATCAACTTTTCGTTTACATTGTGTTGTAAAGTCAATGCTTGAAAAATTATGTCGTCGAGTCAGTGATTGAAATCAATGGTAGTGTCAATAGACATTATTAAAATATAATAATTTTATCATATCTCAATCAACAAGTTAATGTAAAGCTTAGACGGTCATCAATTTTTAACGGAAAACGAAGAATTTGAAACATATGAATTGTCGGGTGACAATTTTGTTACTTTTAATATTCGGATGACTTTGTAGTAATTCCCATGACTTCTACTTTTTATACGTTTCTGTTATTGGTATTTATGAAGGCTTAGAACTGAGCTTGCTATCGTTGACTTCTGTGTATCATTCTCTTCATGTATCCTCCTTTAAATTTAGCCGGGTCTTACGTTTCTGTCTATATGCAGAGAATTTTTTCACAGGGATTTATTTGCAGGGATTACTTCCCATTACAGACACACATATGATATTAATGACTACATATGAATATTGTTCAACTATGTATTTATGCATTTATTTATACATGCATTGCATTTTATCTATATTTTTAATTTTCTGACTGCCGGAGGTCTTCCACGGAAGCTACTCTCAACCTGACGTTGGGGGCAGCCTACTACCCTACCTCCCCCTTACCCCATTGCATATGGGAATTGGGTTTTGTTGTTGTTGTTGTTGTTGTCAATAAAACAACATCCTATAGTTTAGTGATTATTTTATAAGTTTTAATAATAGAAAGACTCAATTAAACAACATTTTATAGTTAATGGACCCTTTATGTACTTTATCCTTCTTGTTATGATTATTATTTTAGTACTCGTAGACATACCAACATAATTGGTTATTCCGTCCATGTATCATTGGAGTACCTAAGAAGGCCAACAAATGTAAAATTGGAGTGTGTTTGTGCATTGGATGCCCAAACTCCTGTCCTATAGGTATCTTCTAATTAAAACCCTCAACAAGCTAGTTTTTGATTTTTTTTAAAAAACAATATTTTGTATAATTAAATAATTTTATTCATATCAATTGAGTTGAATTTGATTGATATTATTATTAATAATATAATTGAAAAAAGATAAGACATTAAATATATTTAAATATTTAATATATTTTAATTTATGAACGAGGAAGAAGTTGAATAATATTTTATTAATTTTTTTTGAAAAATAAAACTTTATTATTTGTTAATGAATAAACCATACTACTTAGGGTCTCATTAAAAAACCTCCCTAACCCTAATTGGAGGAAAAAGAGTGCACCTAAGCAGTGGACTAAGGCAACAACCACCTCATTAAAAATTGTAGGGTGTATTTAGGTTGGTTTTGGATGCCTATATTAAAATTCTTTGTTTTTTTATTAACACATATGAATATGCTCTTAAAGCAGAAAGAATATATTGGAAGAAGGATTTAATTAGTCAAGAATATCCATTCACAGTAAATAAAATTCTTTTAGTTTTAAACAAATTTAAGATCGTTGGAGGAGTGAAAATAGATGGATAAGACAAAAAATTTCCAGTGAATATCTTCTCATTTTTTTAAATGAAATTTAAACAAATTTTCCCTTTTAGGTTTGTTTGAAATATTGACTGCAAAATTACACTGTTAGCACTGATTGGAAAATAAATAAAATGAATAACCTGAATCAACCGAAATCGTGTCACGGTGAAAACTACTGCCTTAGAAACGAATTCGCCCTGATGTGTGTAATCGCTCCAACATGCAGAACATCCCCTGAGGTTAATAGGTCATTCCAAATCCGTACCCACGGAACTAGAGTAGATTATCTGTGGTATTGCTCCTTTGATCGCAATAAATTTCTTAGTAGCTCTTAGAGCTTTTAGAGAATTGTTTGTTGAATGAATGATTCTGGACTGAGTTGAGAAGCTAATGAGCTCTCTATTTATAGGATGCATGCAGGGCTAAAATCATCCATTATAAACCAGATATAAAATATGATTTTATTTATTCATTAATTCTTTGTCTAAAGCTGATGTACAAACGACTGAATATAACCTCAATTATGTCCAGGTTCATGGACTTAAATCTAGCCGTTTGTAACTCATGCAATAAAGCTTTATAACTCTTGTATTAAAGCATTGTAACTATTGCATTCATTATGTAAAACGTCCTGAACAGAGCATCTTATTAGTCCAGGTTCATCCAACATTTACAGATTTGAATTCAGACACTGACTGTTTGAATTTTAAATTTCAGAAACTAAAAGACAACTAATTAATCTTAGCTATTACTCTCTGCAAATATAAAATTTGAATATACTGGGTATCCTATAAATACCAGACAAATTCTTTCACATTTTTTTCATTTTTTCTTTCATAGAAAAATTCGTTACGAATTTTCTCTAAAAGTATATTTTTCGTGCCAACGAGTCAAAGATACGTATTGCCACAACCACGACCACGTCCATGAGCACGACCACGAGCCGAGCCTAGATGAGACATACAGACGGCGACAATAACGGTGCATGAGAATCCCCCTTTTTCTCTGTCACTTAACAAGAGAGTGGAGAATATAAACCCTAAATACCCAATCCCAATATATTTCCCACTCAATGTGGGATTGAGAATTATAAACATTCCCCCAATAATATGAAATAATTCTTCTGAAACTCGAAAACAATCTTTCTAGAAGAGCAATAGCTAGATTAGTTGTTTAAGCACTAGTGAACGTATCTTGAACTAGTACATAGTGATGACGAGCAATCCTTCTCTTAGACAAGTGAAACTAGTCTTGAACTTTCTAAGATAGGGGTGAACTCATAACACACAACTAACCACTTCATCCACCTGAGTCCTGGATGTGTAAGATATATATATATATATATATATATATATACATAAAAGTATATATTTGGCCATCTTACCTCAGGATTCTAGTAAGTGTACTAGTAAGTTACATAGGTTATTTCATCAGGTTTATCTCGATATAAACTACCCATAATAGGGTTATGAAATAATTAAGAACTTATACAACAACTCAACCTCACTTAGTTATAGTGACTTTCTTCAAGTTTATTATAATAAACTACGCAAAATCTGGGATAAGAAGTCATTAAGAATAAATATTCAACCTCATTATTTGGTAAATTAAATAAGTCCTTCTTACTAGAACCATCCATACTTCTGGATTTGAAAAGAGTTTATATAAAACTCAACATTTCTAGCGGTAAGTTCATTCTGTCATTTTCAATAGGACTACCCACTCAACTCTGGGTTGTGAACATATTAAGAATAGATATTCAGCCAAAGTCGGTAAATTCATCAAGTCTTTCTCACTAAGACCACCCAAAGCCTGTGCTATGAATTTATTAAAAGCAATTAAGCTCAACCTGGGCATGTACATTATTTGTCATAGGAATGATAGGGAGAAATGTACACTATGAGTCTTTCCACGGTTTTGTTTGTCAACATTGAACTTAGATAACTAAGTTGGGTATCCACCATGAATTCCTTAATCAATGGGATTTAGACCCATTCCCCTCGATGAATCTAAGATGAGCTTCCAGATTAACCCTTTGGTAAGCAGATCTGCTAGGTTCATTTCCTACTTCACATACTCTAAGGAGAGTACTCCATTCGTTATCAAGTGTATAACAAATTCATGCCTTATGCAAATGTATCTTTTCTTACCTTTGTAAGCTTAGTTCTTTGCCACACATATCGTAGCTTGTGAATCACACAGTAAGGAAACAAGAGGAGGTGGTCTTCCCCACAATGGAATTTCTACTAAAAAATTTCTAAGCCACTCGGCTTCTTGCCTAGCTAAAGAGCTCTAAACTCTGACTCCATAGTGGAACGACCAATACAAGTTTACTTTGAAGATTTCCATGAGATTACTACTTTACCCAAAGTATAACATACCTGCTTATAAAGCTTACTTCATCATTGTCAGAAACGCAGCTGGCGTAACAATACCCTTCCAGTACCACAGGATAGTCAACAAACTCAAGTTTCTAGTTCGTTGTACCTTTAAGGCACTTGAGTAAGTGTCTGAGAGCAAAAAAGTGCTCACCATTCAGAGTATGGGTATATCTACTAAGTCTTCTCACAACGTAGCCAATATCAGGTTGAGTATAGTTCATTAAAAACATTAGGCTCCCGATCACTTTAGTGTATTCAGTTTGGGAAATATTACTTCTTTTATTCTTAAATAGATGTATGCTAGGGTCAAAAGGAGTTCGAATAGGGACAATGTCAAAACTTTCAAATTTCTTTAACACCTTCTTTATATAGTGTGCTTGATTTAAAGAAAATCATTTTTCAGTTATGGTGAGTCTGACCCCCTAAGATTACT